AGAGTGCATACAATGGTATCTAGATAGATTTGAAGGGCTTTATAAGCTTCTCGATGAGAAGGAGCTTGAGAGGGAGCACACGTCCAGTGCCCAGGCACACGCTTGACACAATTCTTTCTGACAATCAGATGTTCACAGTGAAAGAAATGTTCAGGTCCTAGTCTACCTGATCTTTCTTACTACAAGTGAAGAGTAAGTTGAGAAGGGTCAGATTGTTTCTCGTAGCGATTTTCCTCTTCTATGATGGTTTAGGTTGAAATCTGTGCCATCAGTACGATATCGCTTATTTTTCGCCGAGAAACGTATAAAAGTTGTTCAGAACGCTTTCTCAAGGAACTTTTCTGAGAAGGTGCTGGTCAAAACCAAAGATTATCTCTGGGATACGACCTGAAACACTTGCGTACTTGCTTACGAATGGAAAAAGGTCAAAACTGGTGCTGAGGAGATGTTCACAATTTCATCGCTGCATCCAATTGGTCTACGAATTTTCCGGCTCTTAACCCAGTGAGTAAATAAAGTACCCAGTAAGTAAGAAGTAAATACTGGAGAGCAAAGCCTACGCTTTAGAACACACCACTGCTGCTGTTTATTAGGAATCGTTGAAAAAGCCAGGGCTGGAGGTTCTCTAGAAACTCTGCGTGTCGCCGTCCATGAGCAGTAGAAGCGTCTTAGAGCTCTAACTAGTACACTATACGGTTGTATCAGATGACCGTGCGTTCATTTTGTTGATGCGATGCATAGTAAATAATTCACATAAGTTACATCATGTATGAATGTGTATTGAGGTTTCTGCACAGGAATTATTTTGTTACCATATTTGCGGCGCACCCTGTATATGAACTAACATTCTGAACTATTTCGATACAGTTAGGTCTCTTCTCAAAGTTACATGGGGAATCGAAAACCTTCTCTTGTAAGTCACCTAATCGCTGATGATAGTTGAAAAGGTTGAAAACTGGGTGTGGTTTGGGGAAATTGTGAAAGTATTTACACTATAGTAATAATAATCGTGCATCGATAAATGGTCCATGTAAAGATACCGTTGGAGCTTATGTATCGTATATTGCCAATTGGTACACAAAGATAAATAGTAAAATTCGGTCGCAACACATTGAAATGTAATACATATCATACTAGCACTTTACATAGTATTGGGTGAATAAAGAGAAGAAAGTCATATCCGAAGTAATCGTTCTGGGGAATACGTTTGATCGTTACTACGTGCTTATCTCAGTAGGCGGCTTCAATCCAGAATCCGTCTCTGTCAGGTCACTTTTTTGGCGCCATGCGTTCCTTAAGGCATTCAGCACTTGAAAGGGTAGGAACTTTCAACGATAAGAAAATCATTTCTGCCCTCACCATCGGGTAATACTGATTGTTGCCGATGTAGCCAGGTGTACAGCTCTGCTTGATCTGTTTTATCTTACCTCAAGAACGTTCTAGAACTAACTCATCTTCTATGATTCAGGTTCGCGTCTGCAACCTATGCTTTTTACACAGAATGAATCCATTTGGAGAATGTCATCCTGTTTCTTGCTCACAGGATTCCGCATTTCCGGCAGGTCCCTCATCAAGTAGTTAGTCAATGGTTTTTGTCAACTGTTAATCTGCTCAGGAATACAGCCTTCATCTCAGTCTAAATTTTATCGAACACATGATTTTTGATAACGCATAGTCACAACTTCGGTGTTCAGCGTTTTGTTCAACAGTTTTCTTATATTTGGTTTTTGTGAATTTGTAATAAAATGCTGAGTCTTTGAATTTTTCAAACAACATATCTTCAAACCACTACTTCCGGATCCTTTTTATTTACTATTTAGTCGATCGGAAAGTGAAGAAATTGAAATTTTTGCTACTGTGATTCAATGACTCGTGTTTCTAAAGATTCTCTACTAGAGCTCTGTTACAACTATTGAGCTGAATTATATGAGAGTAGTATTTCACTCTATAATATTGAACCTCGGGTAATAATGCTTACGCAAGAAGTTATAACTGGAATTGTTACTGTTGATTGAATGAATCTTAACAATGGGAAGTCCTGCCTACACAGTACTGGTCCGATTATGAGCGTGACATGTAGCGTTTTTGAAACACTTTTTAAAACCACCAGCTCCGCCTCCGAAAACACCACAAACCTAGGTGTTGACTCACAAAAAGCTGTTTGACCTAAGCATAATCTCAACAATGTCATTTTGATAAAAGTATGGGTCGTGGGAAGCTTTTCACAGTCATAGAGATATAAGTGCTTGCGAAGGTGTTCATAACACGCTTGGAAAATGGCAAACCGAAGAGAAAGGTGCGAAAACTAATGCACATAGGACCTGTACACTCGCTAAGAAGGAGTAGTATACTTATCATGGAGATTTGAACGGGAACCCAAATAAATCGATAGAGTTTTGGATGCTGATTACGAGAATAGAAATTGAAACTGCAAAAATGGTCGTACTAAAAAAAGTTATGGAGGCTTAAAATCGCCTGGCTGTAGTATCAATTGGAAATGCGATGTCGTCGCCTTAATATAAGGCGTTGACGTGGCATAGTGGTGGTGGTCTCGCTTCAAAGGCGCAGATTGCGGGTTTGCTCCCCGTCATCGTTGAAACTTTGGCACGGTGTTTTTTTGTCTCATCAAGAGCTTGCAAAGCTCTTCTGACATTTGTTCAAATGAACGCCTTATTTCTGCTTTTATTTGTGCTCGTCCTCCCTATTCAAGGAAGAATGGTTCTGCAGGTTAGTTGCATGCTTCTGTTTTACTTTTAAATCTCGAGAAACATTCAAGAGAAAGGTTCCAATGATGTAATAGATGCCTGAGAGGGACTCGACATTGAGAAAAGGCTAAAAAACTGTGAGAAGCTTCACATCTTGCACATGCTGGTTGTCTACAATCGGTGACAAAACAGTCATTTGTCTTGGGATGGAACAAATAATCGGCCGGTGTGACACGGGAGTCTGGGTATTCATCAACATACTCAGCCTTGTACCGAGAGCTTTTCAAAAAATCAGAACATCGAAGTGCACAAAACATTCGATATATTTGTGATAGAACCTAAAGTGTACTATCTCTGTGTCTCTTAGTCATAGTATGTGTTGTCCCGTCTCTGCCTGCCAGATTTGGTGCTTTGAAGCAGTCTTGACGCGGGGAAGCTTTTCTCAAGAACACACACTTCTTTCTACCAACTTATCGACAGCAATGGAAGGACGGTATAGGAATGCGTGAACTCCATTTTGCTGAGTCTGCGAGGCTCCTGTGTCACACCGACCGTTTTTCGATCTTGAGACGTTGTGTTGAACGATCAGTGTTGAGTTCCTCGCAGACATCTTCCATATCTCTGGCATCTTTCTCTCACATTTTTCTCACAGTGCGAAATAAAGCAAAGGCATGCGATTAACTTGCAGAACCATTCTTCCGTGAATAGGGAGGACGAGCACAAAAGCAGAAATAAGGCGTTCACTTGAGCAGTTGTCATAAAAGGCTTAGAAGGCCTTTAAAGGCAGGAAAAAACACTATGCAAAAATGTCGACGATGACGGGAAGCGAACTCGCAATCTGTGCCTTTTAAGCAAGACCACTACCCACTGAGCCACATCGACGCTTGATATCGAAGCGACGAGTTCGCATTCCCAAATGATACTATAGGCAGCGAATATCGAGTCACCATACCTTTTTTGGTGAGGCCTTTTTACAGCTATGATCCCATCTTTCAAAATCAGCATTCAGAACTTTATCGATTTATCTGCGTGCCCATTCATATCTCCATGGTAAGTATACTACCCCTCCCTGGTCAGTTGCGTTGACGGTTACTAGTTATTCTTGATGTAATACTGGTTCTTGCGTCATATCGCAACAGCAGGACCACAGGTATCGCTAAAGGTTCATGTGAGTAATTAACACTGGACCTGTTGCACTTGCAGACAAGTGAGATATCTCAGTTCAATCTTTTCTTTTTAATCCGATGCAAATGATTTTTTCTGATCTGCAGAGCCTTTCTTGTAAGCCTCTTCTCCCTAACAGGCCTAATCGAACGTAGCAAAAGAAATACTCAACACTACCATCTTGAAAATAGCAACGACGTGAAAGTGATGCTGTACAGGTGTACTATTCCGCTAGCCGAAATTAACTTTTGTTCAATGTGCGGCATTGCTGATTTTTATACTGCTCTTTATTGCACAATTTGCTGGTCGTTGTAAACAGTAGAGCTCCGTTTTCAGGCCGAAAAAGGCTACGCAGAAGAGTCTACGCTTTTTGGCGCTTCTATATCACATGTCTAGCTATGAAATAGGGGAAAGATCTGTCATCTTTTTGAATAATGGCATCTGCAGCGGGCCTGAACACGAACTAATTTGGTCAAGTGGGGGCGGGCTCCCCAATTTCCCTGTAGACTGGTGACGTACAGTTTCAGGTAAATCTTATCCCTTGGTAGTTGGAATAGTGTAAGCTCGTGTAAGCAACCACAAAGAAAGCCAAAGAAAGATGGAGGATCACGAACGGGGAAGATATCATAGGAAGAAGAACGTGAACACAGTTGTCAACAACGGCGGACTCTACTACGGCGTGGAATGAACGACAGGTAGAAGAAGAGGGAAGAAGTCGGAATAGTGGGTGATGAAGGTGGACGGTTTTCTGTGACTCCACGAATAAATTACACAATTAGATCACAAAAACCGAAAACACTGAGGTTCCGATGAGCATTTTAGGGGAAGCATTCACACATTATGAGCTCTGGTGTGTTGAACAGGCCTGAGATCGATTCAGCCTTTTCGGCTCCGAGGGTGAGTTACGGTCGGTGTTACAGGGGGCGCTCAAAACAGCGTTTTGCAAAAGCAAGACAACAATTATCATTTGAAGGGAGAAGCCAATGGCGTTGCTCACATAGTTCCAGTTCCACTTTGATACAGAGATGCGGTCATGTAGAAATTGCCAATCCTGTTGAGCGCGCGGATCCTAACAAGACGCTTTATTTATACGAGGAAGCGCTGCATTAGAAAATCATAGCTTCACCGGTATCACCTGTCGTCCCGTTGTTCAACGATATCCTTGAGTGGGCGCCAGTAACGGCTCCGTACGTCCCTGTCGCGAGCCAGGTTGGTCATTTGGATGGATCGTGCTGGCTCGAGAAATACGACGAAAACAGTTAGTTCCTTCGAAGCCTCGTAAAAAAACCAACCATCGTTTTGGCTGCTGTCTTGGCTTTCGTGTGACGCTTCGATAGATACTGTTAGTAAGTGCCCTGGTCCAGCGGTCAACAAAATATCGCATAAAGTGTTCGGTCCACATGACCGATTTCTCAGCTTAATCACTGACATTTCTGGAAAAAAATTGAGGCTTGACCAGAACGCCACACACCTTGGAAGACTGCAAGCGAATGTCAGCTGCAGACAGGCAGTCGAGACCTTCAGCTATACGGGGAGAAGAGGCTACTGGAGGCAGCCTTGAACAGAAGTAGTCTAAGAAAACGCCATCGGGATCTTCATGACCACAACATTCCACCTTCTTGTTTGAAGAAGGAGGACGGAACAATTACAACATTGGGATTTGAGATGGAGGAAGTTACGCGAAGGTTTTATAGCAAACTGTACCGATACACGACATACGTGCGAAAACCAAAAATCGCTACTGGCTGAACAGCACCTCGAATCCTTTCTTCGGAGGTGAGAGTTGCGATTGCGAGCATGAAAAGGGGCACAACTCCAGGCCCCGACGAGATCTCAGCCGACCTACTCCGTGCAGGGGTTACGAACTTCATGCGCTTCTCGCAACTTACGTGACATCCTACCTCTTGAAGGAGAAGATCCCCAGCTTGGAGGAACTCGCAAGCGGGTATTCTTCACAATAAGGGATGATCTCCGCAACTACCGCCCATCAAACTTGTTAAGCATGCTTTACATTCTGTTTACGAAGATCATTCTAATGCGCATATCGCGAGCATTGGATGAAGATCAAGCTGTAGAGCAGGCCAGATTCCGGATGGGATTCAGCTTCTTAGACCACGTCGGTCGAAATGGTCATCGGAATATGCCGAGAACTCCGAATGCCTCTTGACCTTACCTTTGTTAACTATGAAAAAGCTTCTGACAGGTTCGAAACGAGTGCTGTGCTGTCAGCACTGGTTGATCAAGGAGTGGACCCTCCCTACATGAGAGCCCTACTGACTGCAGTAGTCGCTGAAGAGCAACAGTGAAGCTAGACCTCTCCTCATTACTATAGGGAAGGGTCTGGGACAAGGCGACACTATTCCGCCGAAGCTGCTCACAGCCGCAAAGTTTGAGCCACAAAATTTTGGTGGGCAGGTGACATAATGAGAAGAGGTGATGACAGATGGACACGAAGGACAGTCGAGTGGGCTCCCGTAGGATCTACACGATCTAAGGGTGGGCCTGCTGCGATGGGGGGATGTGCTTGTCGATCACGTGAAACAGCTGCCACAGCAGCTGAACGACTCCCCACATTGTCATCTTGACGATCGCCAAAGGCAGAAGCGAATGGTTTGTTGCTGGTGCGTGCTGCACATGAGTGAAGACGAGCCGTAAAAGTGTAAGTGTAGGTGGATGAATAGCAACAGCTACGCTGCGAGTTTGCTGCATAAGTTCTACTGGGCCACAATGTAGTCGAAGCCATCCATAAAATCTATACGCGTTAGGTCGTCATTTTCCATAACACCTTGGTGATATGTGACCGGTTCAGCTCAGATGATTAGGACCTGAAAGACAAGCCTCGCCCAGAGAGGCCATCTACCTACCCTAGATTTGGACCTGTAACACTTTCTGCTCAAACCGAATCCGTATGAAACTACTCGTTCTGTAGCAAACACTCTCGGCTGCTCCAATTATCAGAGGTCCTCCATGCCTCGAAAAGGTCTTGAGTTTTGGTCTGTCCTTATGAGTCTAGAAACTAGCTAGCTTTAGGTAGATCATGTGCGGAAGCAGCAGTGTTGGTTCCATCAGAAAAAGGCCAAACCAACCATGAGATAAGATCAAGAAGATCATTCTGTACGTCTGGTGGGTTCTCGCGAATGTATCACTGACAGCTCCTCTCTTCCAACGCCACTCTTACGAGCGAGGTCTATGGCTGTAAAATACGAACTAAGTTGAGAATGCTCAGGCTATCCGCTCCGTTCCGCAATGTATACGTGCTTCACGACGATGTAAGACCGCATGTCTTGACGACGACACAGCTTGGGAACCTGAAAATTGGCTGAGGAATTTTTACACACCTTTCATACAACTCTGTTCTAGCTCCTGTCGCCTACTACCTATCCTTGTACCTCAGCAACCATCTTGTGGGTAAGAATTGCGATTTCTCTAAAGACCTCAAACAGGACCTCACTGCTTCTCCAGCTCGGAAATGCACGATTTCTGAAGGCGAGGCAGCCGTTGCCAAGTTGTTGATAATGATGGCGCATATATTGAGCCTTGACAATGGATTCCGTTGAGATAGGGTTTGATGAAACAATTTCTGAATACGCACGAAGTTGCGAGACAACCCCTGAGGTGGTCGCGGTACAAGAAGTTCGCAGTGGCACCGCAAATCACTTCTAAGTTTACTGAGTATACGTTCAGGCGCGAGTCGCATGTAGTTCAGTGCCAGACAAAGGTTATAGTCCTGTATTATGTGTACTGCCACCTCGCAAGCGACATTACTGCATATTTCAAGGGCCCTTAGTCGCAAAGCCCGTTGGATTACACGGGTAACTCTCGCGTCTCGTCCCTCCCGCGTTCAAAGTGGCCCGCTGCCTGCATCCCTTTCACATTCTGACGCTATGTGAAAGGAAAACAGTAACCATTGATTTTCGGCTAAACGCGCATAAGCGCTCCGACACCTCGTGCGCGCATCGCCGTCATTGGCGGAGTCCTGCTCAAGACCTATGTGTTTAGATAACACAATTCATTTGCCACTTATTCCACCACGTTTTGGTATTTTTACTTCGAAAGCGGGTGGAAGTGGTGTAAGAGAAAGTTCCGCACTATTTCACGCGCATGGTCACGGGTTCGAGTCCCGGATCGATATCTGCCCCGGCCAACAAAGCTTTTCATCCCTTCGGGGTCATTTAATTGGTACCAAGGAGACCAAGGCTCGTCTGATAGGATAAATGCACCGACTCTTACATCGGTTGGCACAGCAAGTCACTGCATAGGACACATCACGGCCACACGCATTCAATACGCCACCATGATTCTGTATGGGAGTCGAGAGCGGGGGCGAATCTTCCTGAGACGGAATTGATTAACGCCCGAAGACTCTCTTTAATACTTTGAGAAGACTGAATGCGCCCATTCCGAGCCCGTTGCTCTCTTTCCCTCTGTCCGCAACCCCCTCCCTCCCCTCCCCCGGGTGAGGTCCGGCTCATCCACTTCCTACTACCTTTCATCAGTGTTCCCATCTTACCGCCTGTACTGTTTCGGATGTAGTCTGCAGTAGTTCGGACTAGTTTGCAGTACATATGTTCAGACGAGCTAATCGTATGGTTATTTAAGCGTTAACGTTTCTTTTCATTTCTCCTTGCTTCATAACGTGTTGTGTCACGTTTTTTCGAAATGTTGCTGCCGTAGCTGCCATTGGTTTGCCTAGGAGAAACACCTGCTTTTTTTCTCTTCTGTTATCCTATGACTTATCAAACTTTATTATTGAGCTTAATATATTTATTCAATTGCCTTTTAAATTAGGCTATCTTCTGTATTTGGCTGCTAACGTTATCGGTCTACAATCTCTATTCGACTTGATTTATTCTTTTAGGCTGCTATCTTTATTCCATCGCAGATAAGTGCCGAGATTTTATTCGACTAGTTCGATTTTTTGAAATATCGAACTATCGTCCGTATTCGACGTTCTTCAATGTTCTTCTGTTAATATGATGTTTGCTTGCCGAGGGGTAGTTTCATGGTCAATATGGGATAATGACACATTCTCCTTTTCAAATGGCTCGCAACTGGTTTTTTTTGTTGAATGTATGCACGGTTCCGGTACTATCCGAAATCTGATACGGAAAATCTATCCCAAAACTAACAGCAGACCAGCGCTGAATGAACTGACCACAATTGATCGTGACCGTTTCAAAAAAGAACGCAAATATTTGTGAAGAGGCATATGTCGAGTGAGTTTTTGAACGAGTTCCTTTTCATTTAGAACGGAAGCAGTTCGTATGAAGGTATGTGAGAGCTCCAGAAGAGCAAGAATGTGGGTTGCTCAGAATTAAATTTCACTGCTTTTGCATACATTGTTTCAAGATGACCTTTTCGCAGCTTTCTGTTGTTACTGGAACGCGGTACGCTTTGGGTAGTGGTGTTCATGGTTTGGAAGGCAAATAGAAAACTACAAGTAAAGAGAAACTGACTTTCTTGCCCGAGTCAGTGTTTATAAGGGCATGTTAAAAATAGTTTGCTCTATGTTATCCTTGAAAATGGCAAGCGTCGCGCAGCATCATTTGGAGCTTACGTGCCTGCATAGTAGCATTTCTACTATTACGAGATTTCAAATATATTTCACCGCACTGCCCAGGAACATGGTGAATACTTTTAGACCCTTAGTTACAACATCAAATATAACAGAGTTATTTAAGCGGAGGCAAAAAGGGCAGACAGCAGGGGATAACTGTATGTACTTATGATACCTGCCCTTTGTTCTACAGCGTAACGACAGCTATCTACGTATCTGCTTGATTCTATCCCAAGTCCTTTTGTTGACGAACCGATTAATCTATTTGATTATCCTCAATCCCGGCGTCTCGAACTCAATGGGCTCATTCAGGATTCATCGAAAAGAAGGATTTGCATGCTTGATGAATAAAAATGTTGCAAATGATATGTTTCAGGCTTGTTTTATGAGGGATAGCGATGAGTGATTCCCAGTTTGGTACGTTCCGTACATGCTTTTTTTTTGTTCCAGTCACCCCTACTCAGACGTAAATGTTTCGTGTAAGCAAGAAATTCATCAAACTGGTGAAGTTCACTAGTTCGTTCGTAAATCGTTATTTTTGTTGGGCAGCCAGGAGATTATCTGTTACGTGGAGGGACTCGAGCATCTGTTTTTTGTTGATTAGGATTCGTTTGATGTATAATTTCAATGCTTTACCTAGTCACCAGACTGTATGACCTTGCATCCCTTCTTGTCCGTGTATTTTCAGCCATGACCATTCTTTAATTGGTGCTTCATTTACGTGGTTCAGTTAGAGTGTGACATGCTTTGTGTCCTTAACGAATCATCAATGATTATGATTTCTCGAAGATCTCAATTTCTTTTCAAGCACATTAGTACGTAGGTTACAATTTTGCTGTTTGTTGTTTTCCTTATCCTTGTATTTTTGTCTCACAGTATACTATTTTCAAATTTTCACCGTACGAAGTTTGTGTCAACTGTTGTTCTTCTCCAGCATTTCTTGCAGCTCCCATGCAACAAAACTCAGTTTTTTCCGACATTAACATAAAATGCGCATATGTATTTATTATTGCCATAAGAGAAATGGTATAGAGGACCATCCTCTCAAAATTTATCCACTGATGCTCCTTCAAGATTCCCATTCTGGATGTTTAATCGGCTTCCATGTTAGTTGAAATTTTGAGACCCTATCAAAAATACCATCGAGATTGATAAATGCCTCCCTAAAACTTCAATATTATACATATCACTTTTTTGTGCGACAGCATGAGATGTCAAACTACATGTATACTACACATATAGATCCCTAATTTAAACAAAACCGCATTGAAGTATGCCTACATTATACCCCTGAAATCATGAGCTAATGCAAAGTTGAAAATGTAAGTGCAATACAATTTTTGAAGGCACATCTCACGATAAAAATGGTTTCTGAGATGTCGCGCTAGAATGAATCTGTGGTTCCCATAAATAGTACGGGGCCGTTCTTGGGCCGAAAAGCGGTATAGACAGGGCGTAACAAGGGCTCCAAACTGGCCGACGCAGACACACAAAGTGGTCGTGTTATGCCGTCCTTATTATTACTGCTATAACGAGAAGAACCGTACGCTTGAACGAGAGACAGTCGAACGGCCAATTTGTACGAGCCTCTTTCTTGCACCTTTTTTGAAGTGTTTAAATTCAACCATTTTCGCGATTTCTTTGCTACCCCGCACTTTCTGCACCATGGCGTCCATTATTTGTCTTAAAATTGATATATTTAGGAGTCAGGTTCTATGATCTCAGAAGTTCTGCCACCAACCAACTATTCTTTGACATCTCATGTTGCGATAATAAAATAGACGAACATCAAAGCTAGAACTGATATAAATGGTAACAAACTCTAGCGATATAATTCAAAAACTGGATAAAAACAAATAACTCACCATCACGTCAGTGATGCCGGGCTTTTTTGATTATTCGGGAAGTACTTGAACACAGTCAAATAGCAGGGCTATCAGAAATATAGAAGGGCAGCAGGCTTCGAGAAAAAAGTGTTGTTATTAGAAATAGTAGTACAGCAATTGCTCTTCATGCCAAACAAATTTAAAAGAGGCCAGAATCGCAGAAGTCCTGCTACTACTCAAGTATTGCTGGCAACAAAAGGAGGATTAGTATAGAAGTAAAACAAATACAATTGATAATAAAAGCTAGCAAGATCAAGCAGTAATAATGAAATTACTTCACTGCGGTCATCCCACTACTTT